TTTCAATCAGCCAGCGCGGGGCGATAAATAGCCCGTAGAGGCCGGGGTTTGGTGCGCGTGACGCCGATTTCTCTCCTCTCTCCTTCCCTCCTGCAGAACTACAACGGCGTCTCGGACGTGGAGCTCCGAGTAGCGTTACCAGATATAAGCACGGTGACGGTCAGAGTCAAAAAGAACAGCACCACGGACCAGGTCTACCAGGTGAGCTGCCGCTTTCTTTACACTTGAACCGGAAGATTAACGGCGTTTGGACGTTAACCGCGACCCGCGTGCTCCTCTCGAGCGCGGGCAGGCATCGGTGACGCTACTTTGCTGCAGGGATGCGAGAAGGCCCTGCCCTGACGCTGTGCTGAAGCGTCGTTTTGCCGGCAGGCTTGGCTGCCGGGACAGAGTCATCGCTGAATTAATTTTCCCTGATAACATCTCGGAGCCGGTGGCTGGCTCTGGGCACAGACGGGTTGTGGGTTACGGCTCGCCGCCCCGCCGGCGGGTTTTTTCTGCCTGCAGCCGGCACACGAGGTGGATTTAGACAGGATATCGGGAAGAAATGTTTTCCTGCGAGAGTGGTGAGGCAGTGGCACAGGCTGGAGGAGGCTTTGAGCCACCTGGTCCAGCAGAAGGTGTCCCTGCCCATGGCAGGGGGTTGGAACAAAACGATCTTTAATTTTCCTTCCAACCCAAGTGCTTCACATGGAAAACGAAGGACAAGCCCTCAGCCAGCGCTGCTGGAGGAAAAGCAGAAGCTGGTGATGAATTAGGAGGAATGAGATGATGCAAGGGAGACCCTTTTTGAAAGGGGAACGAAAACTGTTGCCGCAGGGCAGGGAGCGGAGGGCTGTGGCCGAGCGGGCTCTGGGGAGCTCCAGATCCGCGTGGCAGAGCCCGGGGGTGGGATTCGCGCCCGTTCTGCGTTCGGGGGCAGCCTGGTGAGTTTCACGGCACCGCTGCCGAGGGCTGTGAGTGTTGGCCGGGGTGTGAGCGTGCAGGACCGGAGCGTTGTTGGAGGAAACTCCCAGGGGAGGTGCACGTGCCTCTTCTGTTGGGAGCCGCAGCTGGAGGCGTCAGAAGAAAAGCTGACCTGATTGTCAGCCACGGTGGCACTAAAATCTAGAGCAGCTTACAGGGAGGGGAAAGCGGGAGAGTCCAAGCCCTTGCTTAGGAAAACATTTGGGTTTAGTGGATGAGTAAAATTCTGGTTTTCCATGGGACTAACACCTGGGGTTAGCGACTCCTTGGGAGTAACCCGTGGGGAGCAGCCCTGCCCCGGAGCAGGACGGGCGGCTGCTGGCTCCTTTCTGCTCTCACCCCATTTTCCCCTCCGGTTCCTCTTCAGGCTGTGGCTGCGAAGGTCGGGATGGACAGTATTACTGCAAACTACTTCGCCCTGTTTGAAGTGATCAATCACTCCTTCGGTAAGTGGTTTAATCCCCTCGGTGCCAATGAGGAGGGAGCTCCGCAGCGCCCGGTGACACTCTCATTTATGTCTTCTCTCCGCACACAGCATCGGGAGCCGGTGGCAGGAATCGGGCAGGCGCAGTCGGCTCTGATAACGAGGAGCCCTCTAAGTTTGGCGGCTTTTTTTGCTGCTGCTTGACTTTCCCTTTCTTAAGCAGTTCAAGAAGACGACCTTTTTGTTAAACCCAGAGCTGCGTTTTATTTTAGTTCAGAGGGTCCAGCGAGCTTAGAAAAAGTGGGGAGCATCACTGCAACCAGCCAGCTCTGCAGAGGGGGCACCAGCGGGGGCTTGGGACGGATTTTTTTCCTTTCCTGGGAAGAAAAGTGGATGGAAGGCAACACGGTCTGCACACACGTGGGTGTGGGGTGACATCCAGGCCCTGGAGGGGACGCGCTGCAAGCGACATTGCAGCTTCTCACCTCTCCTCCTGTGGTTAAATCCTGACGGTGTTTGGGGCTTTCACTGCGGGATTCCGGGCAATCGTTTTGGCACTTAAATAACCGCCATCCTCCGGCTCGGCGCGTGCCGGGGGCTCCTGGCTGCGGTTCATATCCCTGCCCGCAGCAGCCTCTGATTTTACCCAGAACGTCGCGGTCGCGCCACGAGATGGGTGCCGTGGTCGGGTTGAGTTTTGGTTTTTCCCCGTGTGCGGGGTTTTAAGCCGAGTGTGTTTCTCATTCCCAACTGGTACCTTCACTTCTGGATTTTCATCTCTGTGTCCCTCACGCTCATCCCGTTGTTCCGGCAGGCTGTGCCCTGCCAGAATTGATTTCTGAGGCTGTTCCCTGTGCTCACAACATCCTGGCTGAGCGACCAGCTCGATTTTTAGCTGCGTGAAGCCCTCCTAAAATGACTCATCCCACAAAACAGGCTGGGTTTGCATTCGGTGCCGACCCCGGGGCAGCCAGGATCACCGATCTCCTTTAATTACTGTTGGAATCGCGGCCCTGCCTCTGCCACCGGGTCTGCGGTCACTCGGAGGGTTACGGGGCGCTGGTGGGACGGAGCAGGACAGGGGCGTGGTGAGGGAGGACCAGGGCTGGAGGGTGGATATGCCTGTCTGGAGATGCTACATTTCATTTCCCTGGAAACCCTGAGCTCCATCAGCATAGGACAGTGACCGGATCCTTCCTTCGGGGCAGAGGAGCCACGGAGATGGTCCGAGGCTGGAGCAGCTCCTGTGCGAGGGTTGGGGGTGTGCAGCCTGGAGAAGAGAAGGCTCCGGGGAGACCTTAGAGCAGCTTCCAGGGCTGAAAGGGGGCTACAGGAGAGATGGGGGGGGCCCTGGATCAGGGGGTGCAGGGACAGGACGAGGGGGAACGGTTTTGAGCTGAAAGAGGGGAGATTTGGATGAGAAATTAGGAAGTTTGTTTTTTTTACGATGAGGCAGTGGCCCAGGGTGCCCAGAGAAGCTGTGGATGCCCCATCCCTGGAGGGGTTCAAGGCCAGGCTGGATGAGGCTCTGGGCAACCTGGGCTAGTGGGAGGTGGCCCTGCCCATGGCAGGGGGTGGCTCTGGATGGTCTCTTAAGGTCCCTTCCCACCCGAACCATCCTGGGACTCCGGTCACCGATGATGCTGCGGATGCTGGGTGTGTCTGTGCTCTCACCTCCGTGTCCTGTGCTTTTTCCAGTGCGCAAACTGGCGCCCAACGAATTCCCCCACAAACTCTACGTGCAGAACTACACCTCGGCGGTGCCGGGGACGTGCCTGACCATCCGGAAATGGCTCTTCACTACGGAGGAGGAGGTTCTTCTCAACGACAACGACCTGGCGGTCACCTACTTCTTCCACCAGGTACGTCCCCAAGAGCCGTGATTAGAATCATGGAGTCATTTAGGTCAGAAAAGACATTTAAGATCGTTGAGTCCAACCATAAGCCTGACACTGCTGACTCCCCTAATTTTTTACTGGAGTTAAGGCAACACAAGCTCCCGACTCCCAGAACTGCTCCACACCCCGCTGTCCTCTGGCCGTGTTCTCCCGTTGCCGGAATAAAGCCGGACTGGGATGACCAGCTCAGAGGGAGATAACGGCAGAGTTCAGGAGGATGAATCCTGCTCTCAGTGCTGTCCCAGCGCTCTCTGTACCAGCCTCTGGCACAAACTGAAATAAAAATAATAGCTGTCGAGTTTGATCTCCCAGCCTGGCTCTTCACTGGTGGGTGGTTTTACAAACTGCTTTGTGCCGGGGGCAGGATTCCTCGCTGGAGCGTGCGTCTGAGCAGTGAGAGGAAGGAGCCGTGTACCTGCTCGGTCCTGGAGGAAAAACCCATTTTCACGCCACCGCTGCAGCAGCGCAGGGGGCAGAAGCCAGTGTGGCTCTGCTGGAGTGGAAGGGTTGTTCCAGTTGCCTGTGGCTGAAGGCAAACGCGGGATACCAGGCACCAGCATTTCCAGATCCGTCCTCTTTTGCCGGGGGATGTTCTTCCAAAGTCCTTCCAGGCATCCGTACGCTCCCAAGGGCAGTCAGAGGCTTGTGGCTGGAGTCAGCGAATGCGAAGAGCCACCGCTGTGAGCCTGGCTGTCCATCAGCCTCACTGGGGGCACTGGTCCCCTCCTGGGCTGTGAATTCGGGCGGCCCTTCAAAGCAGCCTCCGGGCCAGCTGGGGAAGGCAAAGCGTCGTGACTCGGTGATGGGATCCTCTGATCTGACCTCCTGGGTTTCCCTTTTTCTGTTCAGGCCGTTGATGATGTCAAGAAAGGCTACATCAAAGCGGAGGAGAAGTCCTACCAGTTACAGAAGCTGTGTGAGCAGAGAAAGATGGTCATGGTGAGTTATCCCACCTGTCCTCTTTGCTTTTCCTTCTCGTTAGCGGCGCTGTGTCTGGGCAGGAGGCACGGGCCCAGGTTGCCCAGAGCAGCTGTGGATGCCCCATCCCTGGAGGGGGTCAAGGCCAGGCTGGATGAGGCTTTGAGCAACCTGGGCTGGTGGGAGGTGTCCCCTCCGGTGGCATCCTGAAAGGTCCCTTCCCACCCAAACCCTTTGGTGACGATGGGGCTCTGAACCCAGTCTGGTGGCAGGTGTCCGTGCCCATGGCAGGGGTTGGACCAGAAGATCTTCAAAGGTCTTTTCCAACCCGAACCATCCTGTGATCCTACGCACGCAGCCTTGCAAACGCACCTTTCCTGGAAAGCGCTAACCATGGAGCTCTGGGCGGGTGTGGGCTCAGCGCAGGAGGGGCTGGGGGTGTGCAGGCACGCCGGAGCGCCAGGCACGGGGCTGGGGCACGCCCGAGGGTCGGCTGCTGCACGAACCAAACCCTCCCTCGTGCCCGACGCCTGGGAACAGCGGCTCGTCCTTGGCAAGATCGCGCCTTGACTCGGCTCCAAGTGAGGCAGCGATAAACCCTGCGGGTTCTTGCCGGTGTTGAAAGGTGAGGCGCTGAACGCGTGGTGCAGCAATCCTTCACCCGCAGCCCTGCGGGGACGCTGCTTCTTCCCAGGAACGGGGAG